TGTGTGAGGATGTGAGCATTTATGTTTCCTTGACGCTTCTCTCCTCTCCTGAGCTCAGTCCTAACCTACCATCGACCCTGTTTTAAATGCCCCCTTAGGCCATGATGCCAGATCTTTGAATAAAGAGTGAAAGGGCTTGAGACTAGGCGATGGGGTGTTTCAGAACTCTCCTTACAACTTAAAGGTAAATTGGAGAGAATGACAACTCTTCAAAGGGGGGGGGGGGCAGGGTTGGCTAACCTGAAACTTCCATCAAACCGAGGTAAACAACGTACTGGTTGTTCGACCGGGAAATTTTACCTGTTTAGCTGGTTAGATCAATACACTCCACTTCTGTCAATAGCAAGGTCACTAAAAGCACATGACATTTGCTTCAATGATTGTTTTCTATTTTTACTTCGTGATCTCTATTTCTTCTCCTTCGTTTCCTTTTTCCTGACATTTTACCACTTTTTTACCACTCAGGAATTTTATGCGCTCCTGCGGTTTTTTTTGAAAACAAGTAAATAAATAAATCAACAGAAAACAGCTAGATTAGCATCAATTTCAAAATTCTTACATAGTAACTCCTGGTGCTTTTATTTCAATTTGCGCGCTCTCCCTCTGTCCGTCGAAACGTATTGAATCGCGTGCCATTCAGCATTATCTCTCCTATTGATTCGCTATTTCCATAAGTAGGAATGGCAAAGCAAAAACATACAGGTAATAAAAATCATTTTTGTTAGGTTTTTGTAAATAAACACAATGTTTTTTGAGAATGAACATTTTGCTCCGCGCACTTCCGTTTCGCTTGGCGTTTTCTGTAAATGCAGAGAAGAAACGCTCGCTTCGAAATTACTTTTAATAACAAACTATTCACTAGTTTCTAAATTACTTAAGTTTACTGCTTGTCGTTTTCCCATCTTTTCAGCAATTTTGTAGCTCGCGGAGTTCTCCAGAGCTCACCCAATGACCCAATGTTGACCCTTCTTTTTTGCGCGTGGGTGCAGTAATTCAAATCCTTGGCATTTTCTTTCTGGTTCTTTTATAATCTTGCTTTCAGAGCACACCGATAAC